AGGGGAGGGATTTAACCATTTCTGAAGACCCTCCTGGAAACAGGGTGCAGGGAGGGGCTTCTAGGCATTGCTGCCCCCAATTTGAAATGTCCTTTTCTCCCCCCACCCTTCCGGGAGGTGTGTACTCGATACCATCCTGCCTGTAGTTTCAGCAGCAGGCCTTTAAATTATGCTTCGCGCCCTGCTGTAGGGGTTTGCCACATCCCCGTCGCCGTTTTTGCCCCTCTGCCTTCATGCTTGCGGCTTCCCACCCGACTGCGCGTCAGTTTCACGGTGCGCAGTCTCTCAATGTATCGTTCGTTGTCATTGCCCTGGTGTAGTTTTCATTGTCAAAGAAAACCAGTGTTTGCTTTCGGGAGGATGGTGGGGAAATGGGATAGAAAGGTTTTCCTTAGGCAGCCATCTTAAGGGGAGGGGGGTCCCCTTAAGCCTTTACCTCAGAGTTGCTTTCTTTTGGGGGGGAACCAGGTGGATTCCCGCCTTCCTGGTCCGGCAGCGGGACGTTTCCTCCCTCCTTATGGGCCCTCCTGAGGAATTCTGCAGAAAGAAAGAAAGAAAGAGGCTCAGCAGCAGGCAGGCCAGGCCAGGCTGTGGGATGAGGAAGGGGCCGTGTAGCTAAGACATCCTTTTCCCCAAAAGTCAGGCAATGTGAGGGAGGGAGGGTGTCCCTTGCTCTACTCTGAGTTTGGCCTTCATAGTGTCCACCCTGTCAGCAGCTTGAATTGAATATTGTCATTGTACATATATACACAGTCTACATACAACGAAATTCACATAACACCCAGAGACCAGGCTCAACGTGCACTCACACACACACACATGACAATCCCCGAATGCCGCCATCCCACCCGCCAAAATTCCCCGCCCCCTAAAAACACAACAAGCATCCACCCAACAGACCCAAGTAATCCTGTCCAACAGCTCACGGATGGTGGGTCCTTAAGTTCGTCGTTAAGTGCATTTATAGTTCTGGGATTAAAAACTGCTCGGAAAAACGTGTGGTCTGAGTTTTCATTGTTGTGTACCTTCTGCCAGAAGGCAACAGTTCATAAAGATTGTGAGCAGGATGGGAAGAGTCTCTGAGAATGTTGTGCGACTTCCTTCAACAGCGAGATGTGAAGATGTCGCCCAGGGCTGGTAGCTGGAGCCCAATGATATTCTGGGCAGTTTTTAATGATTCTCTGTAGAGCTTTTTTGTCCACTACAGAGCTGCTCCCATACCATGCAAGGATGGTATGGGAGCATGTCAGGATGTTATGCCATATGTCCTGCCGTATGTCAGGACACTCTCAATGGTGCTGCAGTAGTAGGGCAGAAGTAGAGACTGAAATAGATTTTATTTTCCTGAGCAGTCTCAGGAAGTACAGCCTCTTCCTCTGTGCCTTCTTCACAAGCATATTAGCTGTCCAATGCACAAGCACCGGGGTGTCCATCCTGGGAGGAGCTGGTCCTCTCCAGTGACCCCCTAGGTCATCCTGGGGCCTTTGGCTGCTCTGTGCGGCTCTCTGCACCCAAAGTTGCAGGCAAGGGGTCAAGATGCCCTTGCTGGCTGGTCACACTTCCTACCACTTTCTTTGCAGAAGGAAGGCAGCCGGGAAGGGGGGGGGGCTTCTTTTAGGACCCGCAACATCTGGGAATCCCAATTTCAAAAAAGGCAACTTGACTTGGAAAAAAGCACTTTGGAGACAACCATGCCCTGGAGGACTGGAGAACCTCCATAGACCGTATCTGGGACTCTTTGAAAGGGCATCTTCTAGCTGAGATGGAAACTCTGCATCCCATAATCACTCTCGCCTAACAGCACAGGGAACTAGCCCCCCAAGGGATGGGAAAGACGGATTTCCTGCACACACACAAAAATCCATTTTCAGGACTGATCTCTGGGTAATGAAAGTTGCTTCCAGGTTTCTAGTCCTCATCTTGGACCTTGGTTGTTTCTAAACTGTCTGGGCACCCATTTTGTCATACTGCTTGCCAAAAGAAACCCATCCGATAGGCTGCTCTTAATCCTACATTCCTATATTAGTCCTATATTCGGTCACTTAGTTCCCGGGGGTCTCCAACCTTGGCAACTTTTAAGACGGGTGGATTTCAACTCCCAGAGTTCCTCACCCAGCAAAGCTGGGAGTTGAAGCCCGCCGGTCTTAAAAGTTGCCACGGTTGGAGACCCCTGACTTAGTGCCGTGCCCCAAGCCCCGCGACCTTTTGGGTCACTGTGGGGGGTTCTTCTGCAGACCAGAGAGGGCGTGGTTTTGTGTGCTACCTACATCCTGCAAATGGGGCTTTGCTTGTTTGCACCTTTCTGGACCAGTGTCGATCCATGGGTGTGTGTGTGTGTGTGTTTGGGGGGATTCCTGACAGAAAAATTGAGGGTTTCTGCAAGTAGCTGGTGGTCAAAACAAGGCTGACTCTTGGCTGCCTTCTTTCTCCCTGGGCTAGGACTATTTTTTCCATCACATCTGTCCCCCTGCAGACTTCACCTGCCCCCCTTCCCTTGGGGGAACCTGCCTGCTGCTACACAGGCTTTCTTGCGGGAGTTTTTGGCCCCATCTTCCTCCTACCTTACAGGTGGGGTTTGCAAACACCCTTCCTCCCCGCCCTTGCCATGGTACTACGCAAAAGGGCTGCTGAGGAAGGAAATGCTCTCCAGCGTCCTCTAAGAGGAAAGATGTACACCGTTTGTACATGTACAGAATGCAGAAAGACCACTGCAGCGTTTTCAGCCTTTGGACGGCTGAAGGATCCGGGCGTTTCGGCAAAGTGGGCTGAGCCGAGGGAGGCGATCCCATCTCGCCTCCGTCCCAAATCGGGAACCACTTCCACAGACACCCCCCGCCCCCCGGTTCCCCTCATCCTTTTAAGCTACAAGGGTGCAGACATAGACCGGGACGGTACGTGGAGGCGCAAATATATATATATATATATAAAATAAATAAATTCCCCAGATTGAGCCAAGGTGGTCTAGAGCTCCACCCGCCCCCCGGCGCGCCTTTCTCCGGCTGCGGGAGCGCAGACCCCGCTTTTGCAGGGAGCAGCCTCAAGCCCCGACCTCGCGGTCGCCCTGCGGGGAACGTGAGCCCGAGCGGGGGCAGCTCACCTTTGGTCGCGCACGAGCCCATGGCGGGGTGGCGGCGGCGGCGGTGGCGGGTGGGTGGGGGGGCGTGCCGGAGCCACCGGCCGCATCGAGGAGGGGGCCCCGGAGGAGGAGGAGCCGTCGTTCGCTCGGTGCCTGCTGGCCCTTCAAACGGCCTCTGGGCTGGGGGAAAGGTGGAGCGGTCCGGCGCTGGAGGGGGCTACCTCCGCCGCCTGTCCTCCCCCCCACTTCCAAAAGGACGGAGCAGAAGGGATTCGGGGAGGGGAGCGATGGGCCTCGCCCCCTAAAGTCGCTCAGGGGCCGGGCATCCCCCCCCTCCAAAAAAGCCCCAGATGCCCAAAAGGAGCTGCACCCCAGCGCTTCCCCCCTCTCCCTTTATGGGGGGGGGGGCTCCCTGGTGCTCCTCTCCTGGCCGGAGGTCTCATTCGCGCCCCCAGCTCGCAGGAGCTAAAGCCCAGCCGGGAATTGCGGGCCTCGGCAGTCCCGCCTTCACGGAGGTCGCTGGAGCTCCGCGGCTTTCCACGGCCCCCGAGGAGGGGTGGGGGGGACGGCGGCCTTGGAAGGGGTGCTCCATCGGTCGTGCTAGCGGTCCCCCCCTCCCCCGCCGAGAAGCTGGCCCTGTGGCGCTTCCTCCCTCCCAGGACCGCCCCCCGCTCCCACGTCGCCTGCAGCTGCGGGCGGGCGATGCTTCGCGTCAAGGCGGTCCTTTCCTTACCGAGCCTCGGCGATCGTGCCAAGCCGAGCCTTGGGACGGCAGGCCCGGGTAGCCCAAACCTCCGCTCCAAGCCCCGGGAAGCCCAGAGATCGGGAGTTAGGAGCGTCCGGGCATGGCAGGGTAGCCTCCCACGGAGCTTTGGGGCAACAGTTGGAACCCGGGCAAGGCGGGATCAGCTCATGCGTGGCCCTGATCATCCAGGAGGAGGAGGACGGGGGGGGGGAAAGCAAAGAAATCCGGGGTTCCTTCCACGCCGTGGGGCCAAAAAGGCATCCCAGCCACCCTTTGGGGAGCCCGGCAGCACCTGCTGGCCTGGGGAGCGTGGGAGCGGTTGCTCGGAGCCTTCCACGGGCTCTTGGGGTTGCTTGGGGAGGCAGGAGGCACTTTGGGGAGAGGAAATCGCGCGTGGGGAAGGGGATCTGGAGCGGCGGCCAATCAGTACTTCCCCCCTCCGGGCCCCCAATTTGTAAACCAATCGACACACTGTATTATACATATATGCATATATGCATACATGCATATACATACATACATACATATAGAAGATGGCTTGATGTTTTTATGTTCTGTTTATGTTTGTCTTAAAAACCAATAGAAATTAATAAATAAAAGGGAAAAATTAAAAAAAGAACTCCCCCCCCCATATATCCCGATCATGGATCTCCCCCCCCCGCCCCCTTCGCACCGCCCGCGAGCCCCAAGCGCTCCCTCCTTCCTCTTAGTCTAAACACCTGTGCCTGCTTGGCGGCTCTAGCCCCGCCCCACCCTCGCCGCGTCACGGTTCGATCCCAACCAATCGGGGAAAGGAAAGAAAGGGCGGGTCCCTGAGCAAGGCGGGGCCGCCAAATGGGAGGGAAGGTTCAAATAGCAGCCGGGGCGGCCCGAGGGCGGTTTGCGGTAGGCTAGAGCGTCTCCATGGAGGAAAAGTGAGTGAGTCACCGGCGACCCTTCTAGGAACCCGGTGGGTGGGAAGGGAGCAGCCTCGGCGCAGGTCACCTGACCCCTCGGGAGCCAATGAGGTTGCCTTGTTCTGGCGGGAAAAAATGGCCGAGGCCGGGCCCTGAGGCACGCGTTGCTGAGTCCACGCGAAGCCTGCGGGGCGGCGGCTGAGGCCCCGCCGAACAAGCCCGGCTTTGCCTCGCGCGCCCCGCCGGGGTTGAGCCGCCTCCTCCTGCTACTCCAGAGGCGGGTTTTGCGGGTTCTTTTTCCAGGTGCGGCGATGGCATCCACTCCGTCGAGTGCCTGGAGAAGAACTTCGTGAGTGGCCGGGCCGGGGGCGTCTCTTTATGGCGGCCGACCGAAAGTTTCCTCCCCCCTCCACCCGCCCCTCAGCGCAAGCCGCGCTCGCTGCCGGGCCTCGGGCCTGTTTTGAGCGCCCTTGGCAGCTGGGGGGGGGGTCGCCTCTTTCTGGGGGGGGAGGCTTGTGTGTGGTGGGCGGGGGGCCAATAAAATATAGAGGGAGGGGGATATAGAGAGGGAGGGGCAGAGAGGGGGGAGAGAGGAGGGACACACACATATATTCCAAAGGTGTTTCTCCCCCCCCCAAAAAAAACCGCACACCTTCTCCCCTCCCCTCCCCAAAAGCAGGCCCTTTACTTCAGGAAGGAGCCCTGCAGCTCAATTCTCTTTCTTCCCCCAGATGGCTTTGCAAAAGAAAATGGAAGACGACTTCTCCCAAGTGGAGACCATTCAGATGAAGGTAGGCACGGAACCGGCCTCCTTGGGGGCAGCCAGAACAGCCTCTTGCCCTCTGGGACGCAGGAGGAGGGATGGGAGCCCCCTGGGAGGGGATCTTATTTTCCTGGCCAGAGAAAGACAGGTTGCAAATAGCGTGGAAAGTTTGGACATTTTTCTATAGTACCCTCCACCACCTTCTCGGGTTGCAGGAAAAAAAAACACCTTTGCCTGTTAACGCCTGTGAAAAATGAAGGCTTTTCATTGGCACTTAGCACAACAGTGACTCTCTTCTACGTCCACGGAAAATAGGCCGCTGTAACTTGGTTCCTTTTGCTCTCTTGACGGTTTTACTTCCTCGGAATCAGTGGTGGGATTCACATTTTCTTTACTACCAGTTCTGTGGGCGTGGCAGGGGAAGGTTACTGCAAAATCCCCGTTCCCCACCCCACTAATTCATTTAATTTATTTGGTTTGTCAATTGCTTACAAGATAATAGGCATAAGTAAAAAAACATGAATACATGGATACATATAAGAAAAAAACAATTCAACAGGGACAGTAGGCACATTGGTGTGATTATGCACACCCCTAACTAATCTGCTTTCCAGCTCTGTTTTCCACAGGACAACCAAAGGAGACCCAGCCGATCAGCTGGGACTCAATGGGAGGCAGAGAAGGGATGAGGGTGGCGGGGCCAGTCAGAGCTGCGATTGGCCGGTTCTCCGAACGACTCAAAATTTCCACTACCGGTTCTCCAGAACTGGTCAGAACCTGCTGAAGACCCACCTCTGCTCCGAATCCTTCTGTACCGGCGTTCACTTCTCATGTCTCTCTAACAATTTCTTTTTTGCTTTCTGCCTGTTGGCTTCTGAGAGTTAGGCCATAACGTCTTGAAGGGCTGGGTTTTGCAGCTTATCCTCGGGGGCTGTGAAATTGCCATTCTTGCTCTACGTAGAAGATGGGAGGGAAATAGAATAGGGGGCAAAAGGTTTAAGTGATCGCAGGTAGAATTATGTCGTCCTCCTCCTGAAACCTGAGCCGGGTTTTGAAGAGTGCGCGCCCCGTATTTTTGGCCCAGGTCAAAGCTTTGAGTGCCGACTGGGAGGAACGACACCATCAGTTGAAGGTAGAGCAAGAAAAGGTGGCAGAACTGGAAGCGCAGATCAAGCTGCTGAATACCAAGCAGGAAGAAGTCATGGCTTCCCTTCAAGCCGACATGCTCCATGCTGCCAGCCAGATCCAGGAGAAGGAAGAGCTGGCAGAGCGGCTCAGGTCAGAAGTTGCCTTCCTGGAGAAGAGGGTGAGGGTGGCCTGTGAGGAGGCTGCCGGGAGCGCTGCTGAACTGGAGAAAGGAGCTCACGAGGCCCGGCTGGCTTTGGAGGCCACGCTGGCTTCCCTCTGTCCACAGCTGGACAGAGAGGAAGTAGCCAGGGAGACCCTTCAGTCCGAGCAGGAGGCCCTGCCACCGCGGCAGCATCATGTGCAGTTCCTGTATGGACAGGACGCCAAGGGCCCAAGAAAGGCCGAAGGAGCGGAAGCCACAGCAGCAGCAGCAGAGGCTCCGCAAGGGCTGCCGCAGGAGGCAGTGGGTGGCCTCCAGGAAGAGGTGAGCTTTCTGCGGAAAGGATTGATGGTCCTTGTGCTGGAGGACAGTTCAGTTCAGGGGATCTCTGTGGAGGACTCGCTCTCCTCTCCGGATGTGGGATGGGGAGGGACTCCTTTCCTCGGGGCACAATTGCTCTAGCTTTAGATAAAGCTAAACTGGCAAGGGAGTAGTATCTCGATGATCTCAGGCTTCCCCTTCAGCCAGTGCTGGAGGAGGACAAGGCTGGTTTCCCTCAGCGGTCTGAGGCCAGGTCTTTTGCTTCTACAGGTCTCTAGGTTCCCTTGATCCCGACATCTTCCCCAAGCAGGCCTGTAGGTAGCCTGTTCCAACCTTCTCACTCACTGAGGTGGCCTCTTCGGGCGCACGGGTGTGGGAGAAGTGGCTTTCCTGCATGGGCTGGCTGAGAGCCAGGCTTCCTGACCCTTTGGCACTGTTGGTTTCTGGGAAGAGAGTTGGAAATCCCGGGTGTTGCGAAGGATCACCCTTCGGAACAGGGTGCAAGAAGCAGGGTCCCCTGGCTGTCATCCCCTTCAAAGGAAATGCCCCTTGGGAGCACCATCCAGCGAAATGACCGTTTTTGCAACACTGTTTTGTTTTTTTCCCCCACAGGCCAAGCCCAGAGCCAGCAGGGGTGCGTGGGTGTTACTTTCTTTGTCCACCGATTTTCTTTTGTCTCCCGAAACACATGCCCCTGGGTCCCTGGAGCCACTGGTCAAGGCAACGTCAAGCTGTGTCCAGAAGCCCACTCTGCTTTCAGAACTGCAGAGGGGTCTCTTTGAGAGTCCCTTCTGGGAAAGGCTTCTGCAGCCCGAAAGGGGTGAAAATTGTTACTTCTGCCTTGTTACCGGCGGTCTTTTTTCTGAGGTGCATCCCGCTGAAGCGGACCGTCACTTTGAGTGTTGAATAAAAAATGTGCACACCTGCAAAGCCAAAGCACGCCCTTCTTTCAGCCAGCGCAAAGAGGCAGGGCACTGCGGGGGTCCTGGGGATGCGTCGGTCCCCTCTTTTGCCCAGGCGCCAAGTTTCTTTGCCCCCTTCCAGGGGGCAGCCATATCTGGGATGCAGGCAGCCATATCTGGGAGGGCCACCAGGGGGTGCTCTTGTACCAACCGATTTCTCCAGCCTTTCTGGGTGGTTGGGAGGGCAGCTGCAGAATTGCTCGCGCAAACTTTCTCTCGATTATGGAGTGGGTGATGCTACGCTCCCCGTCTTCTTCGGAATAGATAGCCAAATCCCACCTGCCCTCTTTGGGGACTTAGGCTGAATTTCCGTCCACGGAGACCTTGCCAAGGTGACCCTTGGAAAGGTTGAGAGAAAGCAGCCCGCGCGTAAACAGGTGCAGCTTTCTGAAGGGAGCAGAAACTTCACGGGGATTGTCGGACCTGTTGTTTCCCCACTCTATAAATGCATTCGGGGCTTTTTTGACCCTCAAAACATGGGCAGGGGATCCAGAAGGCGGCTGTTGAGGCTGCCCCAGCATGTGAGGTGATAACAGATAATCCGAGTTGGAAGGGACCTTGTAGGTCGTCTAGTCCAACCCCCTGCCCAAGTGGGCTTTTTCCTCCTTCCAGTTCCTCCCCTGGGCTTTGGCTCAGGTTCAGCCCTGGGTGCAATCTGGCCGGGCAGAGAAGCCCCTCCTCCTCCTCCTCCTCCACATGGATTCTTTCTGAACCAGCAGATTAGACAATTAGGGCCTCCTTTCATTCCTCTTACTGCTGTTCTTCCTCACGGTTGCCGATTATGGCTGCTTTTAGAATTTTATTGGTAGATTTTGCTGCACATCATCATTTTCTGTTTTAAGTGCTTTATGGTAACATAATGAAAAACTGGTACAAATTCCTCAGGGCATGGAACATTTTTCTCCTCCATAAATTTACCTCCCTCTTGACACACTGATGCAATTAAAGCCAGAGCCAACCCACCACATTTCTGGGGCAGCAAATTCCACCCAGATCTTCTCCATCCCCGTCTGTTTCCAACGGGTGACCGCAGAACTTTTCTGCCACCAAGGAATGCAGAAAAAAATATATCTGTAGCCGCTTCCTCCTCCCAGCCGTTCCTAATTTACAAACCCGTTGTGGCTCCTTGTAGCAGACTTGTATTCCCCTCGACTGGAAAAATAAAATAAAATCTGGTGCATTGCTTGCCAAGGATTGCGGAGCTAACCCACACTTGGAATTCCACGCTGCGCTCTACACGGTGCCAGTTGCCTCTTTCCCGCTCCCAGAAATGACCCAAACTTGTTTCCTGCATGACTGCCCACGGGGGGGGGTCTCAGGAGGGTCTTGCTATGCAACCTCTGGACTGTCCACTTTACAGGAGCATTAGAAAGATAACACGGCATCCAGCCAGGGAAATGCCACTATGTTTCAATCCATGCTCGGTCAAGAGTCAATCGCTCTTTCCTACTAAAGGAATGTGCGAGGAGGCACCGTCCTGGCTGCCGACCCTGTAATTATGTGGAGAGAGAAGGGCAAAGGATTCTTCTGGTCTGATTGCAAGGCCCGGTCAGAAACTGGGCCTCGCAATCGATGTGCAGCCTAGCGCAGCTTTTTTTTTGCTAAACTTAAAAGAGTCCTGCAAAGACGGGTATCTAACCGGATCCTTTTTCTTAAAAAAGCACAATTGCATCGTAGCCCTCGGCAGCAAACTTATGTTTTCAAAAAATGGGAAGAATGCGGAATAAGATGGATGGTCCAGTCCAATGTGTGTGAAATGCTGCAGGATGCCTGGTTTAATGAGAGGAGCTGGAGGGGGGGGATGGAAATGGGGGTTCTGCTTTCTCCTCTTCCTCCTTGGCTTCTTGTGGATCCTTGCTGAAGCTTCCTACAACTAGAAGTCACAAAATACGAACTATATGAGATCTAATTAGCGTGGTGCTTTGGGTCTGTCCACTTGGGAAAGGCCTTGATTTTTTTAAAAAAACTCAAAGCAACTTGTCCAAAGTGTTTATTTAAAATAAAAATATAAAAAGGGTGGTAATTGCAATTGGTCTGGGTGGATTTGAACAGGCAGTTGGCTTCCTTGTGTTTATTAGGGGGAGGTGGGGAGAGAAAGGGACAATTTATCCTGAATCCCCACAGTATCACCCCCTGCCCTTGTTATCTGGACCCACTGTACTTGGGGCTCCGTAGAAAATGTGACTACAGGTTAACAAGAGTTGGAAGGGACCTTGTAGGTCATCTAGTCCAACCCCCTTGGGCTGCTGAACTGAGGCGGCCTTTTGTCCCTCCTTTCAAGCTGCAGTCCCCGGTGGGGGTTTCGGACACGTGTGAACACCGTCCTTTGCCTTCCTCTGCCCTGGTTTGTGGCGGGTGTGTTTGTGTGTGGAGTGAGTGGGGCTGCTGGGACACCCCCCCCCCAAGGAGGAGCAGAAGCAGCTGGGCGGCCTGTTTTCCCAGGGCTGCCTTTAGTGGCCCTTTTGGAAACGTTGTTATTCGGGATCCCTGTTACAGTTTCAATCTTGGTTTCCTGCATTTAGGCTGGTTGGTTGGTCGGTTTGCATGCCCTTGTGAGCCTCGGTGCAAAGACAAAGACAAACACACACACACACACACACACACACGCGTGTGTTGGCATTTTTTTAAAACCCTCTTCGGTGGGGGGGGCTTCCCTTGGCCCCCGACCCCCTCCCTCCCTCCCTCTTCCTCGGGGACGTGGGCACGCAGCAGCAACAACTCGTTGGAAATGAACGCAGGGAATGGCGGAAACGGGCCCCGCCGCCTTTTATACTTGTGGACAAGTCAAAGCCGCGCGCGGAGAGGCGAGTTTTCCGCTCTTCTCCTCCAGGGGGCGCAGCGGTGCTCGGTGACGTCACCCGCATCTCGTGGGAAACGAAAAGGCGGGAAACGGAGCGGTGGAGGAAGAAGAAGAGGAGGAGGAGGAGGAGGAAGAGGCCGCCCCGGGTGGGTCTCCTCTCTGCGGGGCGACGCAGGCTCTCCTCGCGGCCTTTCTGCCGGGGCTCCAGTCTCCGGCCCTGCCGAGGCCCGCAATTCCCGGCTGGGCTTTGGCTCCTGTGAGCTGGGCGCGCGAATGAGACCCCCGGCCAGGAGAGGAGCACCAGGGAGCCCCCCCCACATAAAGGGAGAGGGGGGAAGCGCTGGGGTGCAGCTCCCTCGGCTGAGGGACCCCCCTTTATCTCCCCCCCCAAGCACCAGATTCCCCTCTGGTCTCTTGGACAGGGGGGTCCCATCCGTCCAGTGTGTGGATTTATGGAAGAAATAATAATAATAATAACAACAACAACAATAATAAATCAAGAAATTGCAGCTTCCTGCATTAACTCCAGCAGAACTGCAAAAAACTGCTCTGTTTGGAACATGGTACATCTTAAGGTACTTGGTGGATATCTAAGATGCTGGCAGCAACTCCTATCAACCATCATCAGCACCAGACAATGATATTTTTGATGCATTTTTGAATGTTCAGTTGACTGAGTTTCATGTTTAATGAATAAAGTGAATAATAGTAATAATAACAACCTAGTTAATACCTAGGATGCTGGCAGCATCTCGTATCAACCATCAGTGCCAGTCAATGATATTTGTGATAAGATTTTTTAAATGTTCAGCTGACCGAGTTTCTTGTTTAATGATTAAAAGTTTATAATAATAAACAGGATGATAAAAATAACAAAATATTGTGATTTGCAAATGGAAGTGCTATTGTGGAGGAAGAAATAAATAGTTGTACCAATCATAATAGGAGCCCTTGGAACAATACCCAAAGGGCTACCTGGATATGTGGAAATGTTGAACTTATTAGACCTGAATTAGACTTTACAAAAAAAAAAAAAACACTCTTTTTGGAACTGCCTACATACTCAGGCGTTACCTTAACAGCTCCTAAGATCTTGGTTAGGACTTGAGCTATTAAGTTTTTACCAGTCCTAGACTGAATCAATTGAAGATTAAAGCTTAAATAATAATAGTGGAGCCCTTGGAGCAATACCCAAAGGGCTGCCTAGATACGTGGAAATTTTGAACTTCATACCTGAATATTCTGACTTTGGGGGAAAAAAAACAAGCCATCTTACTCAGAACTGCCTATATACTGAGGCGTTACCTTAACAGCTCTTAGGTCCTTGGTTAGGACTTGAACTGCTAAGTTTTTACCAATCCCAGACTGAATTGAATTGAAGATGAAATCTTTAACAATGATGACGATGACATTAAAAAAGAGGCGACGGAGCAAAGACGGCAGGAATCTCCTGTTCCTGCTAGCTGCTCCAGGGTGTTGGTGGGGAGGGACCCCCCCAAGTTTCCTTCCCCCACCCACCCTCCCCCTTCAGGTTCCCCATTCCCGCTCTAAAGAAGGCAGCAATCTCAGGTCTGGGGGCCAAAGGCAGGCCATTCCCCCCCCACACACACACACCCGTTTCCTGGCTTCCCAGGTTGGCGGTGCTCAGTTTCAGTTTGCAGAATTGCCTCTTGGTCTCCACTTCTTTGCACCTTTCCCCCTCTTTGAGGTGCAGTGCTGGAGGAGGCCGTTTGAGGCTTTTTCCACCTTCGCTCTTAACCTCTCCAAATGTTTTGAAGACACACATAGTCCTTTCCCTGTGTCAGTGGAAAGGGAGGGTTTGTTAGCCTACTTCCAGCTAGGATTGGAATACTTGAATCAAAAATAGACATTCTTCATTGTGGCTTAAAGGGGGAGAAAAGTGGAAAGACCAAACTGTTGTCAGGACAGGAACATAAATCAGAGATAATTGCATGTTAGTGTTTATAGAGAACGCAACTGAGGGGGAAAAAAAAAGAAAATAAATGGAAGGCCGAGGTCTGCAGCTGATTAAAGGGCGGCCTGAAAACCCTGTTATATAAATCCGGTGTCACTTCTTATAGGAACATGATGTCTCACTAAGGGATTATTCTAAAATCTCTCAAACAAGCTTTGGAGATAAGTAT